GTGTGAGTGTGAGTGAGTGAGTGTGTGAGTGTGAGTGAGTGAGTGAGAGTGAGTGTGCGTGAGTGAGTGTGCGTGAGTGAGCGAGTGAGCGAGTGTGCGTGAGTGAGCGAGTGTGCATGAGTGCGAGTGTGCTTGAGTGAGTGAGCGCGTGTGCTTGAGTGAGTGTGCGAGTGAGTGCGCATGTGTGCGTGAGTGTGCGCGAATGTGCGTGAGTGAGCGAGTGAGTGAGTGTGCGTGAGTGCGCGTGTGTGAGTGAGTGAGCGAGTGTGCGTGAGTGAGTGCGCGTGCGTGGTGTGAGCGAGTGAGTGAGTGTGCGTGTGTGTGCTCGTGCGTGAGTGAGTGCTCGTGTGTGCCTGAGTAAGTGCGCGTGTGTGCGTGAGTGAGTGCGCGTGCGAGTGTGCGTGAGTGTGTGTGTGAGTGAGTGCGCATGTGTGAGTGAGTGTGCGTGAGTGCACGCGTGAGTGAGTGCGCGTGATTGAGTGAGTGTGCTTGTGTGAGTGAGTGCGCGTGTGCGTGAGTGAGTGCGCTTGTGTGAGTGAGTGCGCGTGAGTAAGTGAGTGCGAGTGAGTGAGCAAGTGTGCGTGAGTGAGTGAGCGAGTGTGTGTGTGCGTGAGTGAGCAAGTGTGCGTGAGTGAGTGAGTGAGTGAGTGTGAGCGAGCGAGCGAGTGAGTGTGTGTGTGTGTGTGCGTGTGAGTGCGTGTGCGCGTGAGTGAGCAAGTGTGCGAGTGCGTGTGCGCGCGAGCAAGTGAGTGAGTGTGTGTGTGGCCGTGTGTGCGTGAGTGAGTGTGTGTGTGTGCTTGTGTGTGCGTGTGAGGGAGTGAGGGAGTGAGTGTGTGTGTGTGTGTGTCCGCGTATGAGTGCGCGTGAGCGAGTTAGTGTGTGTGTGTGTCTCCTTGCAGCAGAATAGCAGTGCTGGCGTGATCTTGCTCCATTCGCTCAGCTCTCAATGTGTCCGTGTGCTTTATCAAGAGAGGTTGCGCTTGTGTGAGTGAGTGCGCGTGAGTAAGTGAGTGCGAGTGAGTGAGCAAGTGTGCGTGAGTGAGTGAGCGAGTGTGTGTGTGCGTGAGTGAGCAAGTGTGCGTGAGTGAGTGAGTGAGTGAGTGTGAGCGAGCGAGCGAGTGAGTGTGTGTGTGTGTGTGCGTGTGAGTGCGTGTGCGCGTGAGTGAGCAAGTGTGCGAGTGCGTGTGCGCGCGAGCAAGTGAGTGAGTGTGTGTGTGGCCGTGTGTGCGTGAGTGAGTGTGTGTGTGTGCTTGTGTGTGCGTGTGAGGGAGGGAGGGAGTGAGTGTGTGTGTGTGTGTGTCCGCGTATGAGTGCGCGTGAGCGAGTTAGTGTGTGTGTGTGTCTCCTTGCAGCAGAATAGCAGTGCTGGCGTGATCTTGCTCCATTCGCTCAGCTCTCAATGTGTCCGTGTGCTTTATCAAGAGAGGTTTCTCCAGGAAACAAGCAGTTTCGCCTCCATCTGTGAGTTTATGCTCAATCTCAACCATCTCTAAGCATGGAGAGTCTCCTCTGACTCTGCTGTTTCCATCTGTTTCTGAAGTGTGGTATGTAGGTGATACGCGTTTGCATTTAAATCACCACAGCAAAGTTTCAAGCGGTCGTGTAACTTCCTCCTGCAGCTGTTGCCGTGGAAACAACGCTTGTGACTGTGCTGAAATCTAGCGGAGTAAAGCTCACAGATCTGAAACTGTTGTTATATAGTGAACACGTGTGTCTGATGGGTTTGACAGCGCTGAAGTCATATTGCTGACCTGCTAAATTAACTAGACGCTTTTAACTAGTAAATATCAGTGTAACTTAAATTTCGAGTCTCATTTGATACATATTGCTTGTATTATTAATAAACAAATATTTATTTATTTATATAAGCACACCTCTCATCCAATTATCAATACAAAAACTATTTATTCATTTTCATTAATCACATTTTCTCTTCCAAATTATCAGTACAATAACTATTTGAGTTAAGCCCATTTTATCTCTGATTATCAAAGCAAAAACTATTTATGTATGTATGTATTTATTGATTGATTTATTTATGTATTTATTTATTTTTGTTAAGCACATTTTCTCCTTCAGTTATCAGAGGAAAACTTATTTATTTGTTTATTTATTATTTTTTAAAAATTATTTAAGCACATTTTACCTGCAATTATCAATACAAAATCTATTTATTTATTTATTTATTTTTAATTATGTAAGCACATTTTACCTGCAATTATCAATACAAAAGCTATTTATTTATTTCATTAATCACATTTTCTCTTCCAATTATCAGTCAAACAACTATTTGAGTTAAGCCCATTTCACCTCTGATTATCAAAACAAATACTATTTATTATGTACTTTATTTATTTATTTGTTTTATTTATTTTCTTCAAGCACACTTTCTCCAATTATCAGTACAAAAACTATTAGCACATTTTATATCCTATTATCGATACAAAAAACGGTTTAGTTATCTATCTAGCTTTATCTATCTATTTATTTTTAATAAGCACATTTTCTCCTCAAATTATCAGTACAAAAACTATTTATGTATTTAAGCACATTTTACCCCCAATTATCAATACAAAGCTATTTATTTACAATATATTTGTTATGTTTGTATATTAGAATTTGTTGCATTGTGGCATATTTTTATTATTTATTTAAACTATTTTAATATTAGTTTAGTTTACATGGTTTAGTGTTTAGCTTATACATCATTGAATTTGTTATATTGACATTAAAATAAAAAGTTAAAATACGATTAAATAAGAAAATAAAAAGTATTGTATTATAGAAATGAGTTAGAATAAAAGCATCTTCTGAATTAATAAATGTAAACAGTTACAGTAGTGAATCTAATAAGATCAGCATTGAGAATAATCTCTTATCTGCACTGACTGTTCTGCCATTAATTTAGTCATGTTTCCAATATTAATCAGTCGTGCCCATTAGGGCTGGGTAACAAATATCGATATCTCGATTTTAATCGATTCTCATTTTTACGGAACGATATCGATTCTTAAATCCCAGGAATCGATTAGTGTAGCCTGTTTTCAGTTAATGGACGGAACGTTGAAGGGTACTTCCCATCCAATAAATCGCAATAAGCATTGTGCTTTGGTACTTTTAATATGAAACAAAGTCTCAGATTTCAAATTCTGTCCATTGTATTGCA